GATACAAGCCAGAGCTCTACTGCCGTCCACTCCGCTGCAGAAGTGGACGCCATGCACGCAGCCCAGGGCGGACGGATGCAGCAGCTTTCTTCTGTCCTCATTCACCCATTCCTCCAAAGGCTGGGTTAGTGGTTACACACCAGGGCTTTTCATCAGAACTGGCTCTGCCACAGTGCTGGTTATCTACTGATACGTAACAAACCACCCCAAAGTTTAGTGACTTAAAAACAAGAGCATTTTCTTATATCCCATGACTTTGTGGGTCCTCAATTCAAGCAGGCTCGAAGGACGGTTCTTCTAGTCCACGTAGCGTTGACAGAAGTCATCCAGCAGCATTCAGCTGGCAGATGTGCTGGTCTGGAGTATCCCAGAAAGGGTCACTCAAATGTCTTGTGCACCGGCAGGGAGGCTGGAAGGCGGGGCTCAGCTGAAACTGTCAACCAGCTTGCCTAACCAAGGCCTTTCTAGCATGGCAGTTTGAGGGTAGTTCGATTTCTTGCACGGTGGCTCAGGGCTCCAAGGGGAGTGTTCCAAGAGACCCAGGCAGAAGTTGCAAGCCACCTTATGGCCCAGCCTCAGAAATTCCTGAAAGCTACTTCTGTCGCAAAATCTAATGGCAAGCAAGTCACCAAGGCCACCCCAGAATTAAGGCTCAGGAAGTGTTTCAGAACACAGTCTTGCTGAGGGAGTTTGAAATATGATTCTATCACTTCTAGCTAAGTGACCTTGCGAAAGTTAATTTAAACTCTGTTAGCCTTGGTTTTCATATCTGTAAGATAGGAAGATTTTATTTTTACTTTTTTATCCTTACCCGAGGACATTTTCCCATTTTTTGTTCAGATAGAGTGGGAGGGAGAGAGAGGAAGAGAGGGAGAAACATCGACGTGAAAGGGACACATCGAGTGGCTGCCACCTGCATGACCCAACCAGGGCCGGGGACAAACTGCAACCGAGGTACATGCCCTTAGCGGGAACTGAACCCGGGTCTCTCTGGATCGCAGGCTGACGCTCTAACCGCTGAGCCAAACCGGCCAGGGCCAGGTCTCATTTTTGAAAGCTTGCCACACATATTGTACAAAGAACCTTCTATCTTCCCCACTTAATCCTTACAACAGTCCTATATGCTGGTTATTAGTACTCCCATGTCACAAGTGGGGGAGGTGTGAAGAGATTAATTGAGGTCACACACCTGGTAGAGGGCAGAGGTAGGATTTGAATCCAGGTGATCTGGCTTGAAAATCATGCTCTTAACAATAGCCCATGCCTTTCATGAGGCTGCTCTAGAAAAAGAGGGGAAGCAGCCGCACCATTGCAGACTTCCTGGGCAAGTAGAGCAGGCAGGCAGGCTTCCTGCTAGAGGTACCCATCTGGAGCTCGGTGTTTCCTGAGGTGCTCTGGAAACGGTTTGGCTCTCCCACCACCTGCTTTCTCAGCCCCCCCCTTCCTCTGCAGCCCCAGATTCTGAGCCTAACCCTCAGAGCCCCAAGAAGGTGACCTGCTGAAACTCAAGCCTCAGGGTGTGGCTCTGTCTCAGCCTCTGGGCACTGCACCCCAGCTGGCAGAGGCAGGTGGCCCACACTCATAGACCTGGATGTTGTGTAGAGATTGGCTTCTGGAGCCACTATTTTGGGCTCTGCTGACAGTGCATGAGCAGAAATAGCAACAAGGGCTGAGTTGTCAGGCAGAGGGGGGGTTCCAAGAGAATTGCGGGTGGGCAGATTGGGCTGCCAAGTGGGGTCTAGCTTTGTCTGCTCTGGATAATTATAGGCCTTAACAACCTGGGACGAACCGAGAATGGTTTTCAATCCCTGGATTGGAGAGGGGCTCTGCCTGGTTGGCCACAGCAGTAACAGCCCTTCTGTCATCTTCCAGCTTTGGAAAAGGCCTGGAGAGCACCTGAGGCAGCCAACAGCCAGCTGGGATTAGGGCCAACCGAATGCCGCAGGGAGGAGAGTAGAGTAGCTCACTGGGCAGCACCTGCCCTTTGAGGCCCGAGCCCAGCGATCCTAGGCCCAGGACACAGCATTCCAGCCCATCTCATCTTCTCTGAGCCTCAGTTTGTTCATCTGTAGAACTGGGATGTTCATCCCTGCCTACATCCCAGACCAGGCGGCCTGTGTTTGCAGTTTATGAGGTGCAAAGGAAGTGAATGGGGGCAAAAGCAGCCTGTGCTCAGCTCACTCCATTGAACACTCTGGTTTGGAGCTCTGTCTGCTTGGGAGGAAGAGATACTTTCTTCTTGACCAAGCCCAGGACTGCTTCTGTCTGAAAGGCTGGTTTGCTCAGAGGGGGCATCTTTTTTGTTTTATTTTTTATTTATGTATTTATTTATCCTCACCTGAAGACATCTTTTTGCATTTATCTTCAGATAGAGTGGGAGGGAGAGAGGGGTGAAGAGAGAGAGAGAAACATTGATGTGAGAGAGACACATGGACGGGTTGCCACCCACATGACCCCAACAAGGGCCAGGGACAAACAGTAATCGAGGTACGTGCCCTTAGCGGGAACTGAACGCAGACTCTCTGGTCCGTAGGCCAACACTCTAATCGCTGAGCCAAACGGCCAGGTCTGGAGGCACCTTTTTTGACTTGTACAAAGAGAAAGCACTTGCCCTCTGGAAATGGACTAGATGGCAGAGAAGGGTAGAAGCCCTGTAAGCCCCCAAGAGAGGGCACAGCTGACCCCAGAGCCTTGGTGAGGAGGGAAGAGTGGGTCAAAGGTGGGCCAAGGGGACAAAGTGAACTGGGAAGAGAATGTCAAGGTAACCAAATGATGAGAGGGATGCAGGTGGAGCTTGGAGAAGGGCAGGTACCCTCTGGAGGAAAGTCCAGTCCTGGGCTGAGCTGGGATCCACTCCCCGGGTGGCCTCTGTAGAGAGGGTTGAGTGGCAGTGGTGCATCCTGTGGCTGCCGGTCCACAGAAACACAGGGCTGTACCTGATGCAGGGTCATAGCCAGAGAGTGTGGGGGCCATGGGCAGGGACACTGAGCCGGAAAGCCTGGTCAGAGGCAGCAGTTGGAAGAGAATAAGACATCAGGCGACTGTAATTCAGAGTGACAGGGGTATCATAAGAGGTGGATGGACATTTCAGTGGGGAGGAGCACTTCTCTCAGGTTGGGGGGTCTAGCAGAGCTTCCCAGGGGGGCCATCTGAACTGGAGCTCCGAGGAGACCGGGTGGAGAGTGCTGAGAGCGGTGGGCACCCGGAGCTGGCGCAGCTGGGGCCTGTGCAAGTTGGCAGAGGTGCGTGGCATGTACGAGAACAGAACTGCAGGAGACGACTGGAAGTTCTCAGTAATGCAGCATTTCCTACCTCGTCCAGGTGTTTGTACTTCTGGGGTGGAAGCAGAGGGGTGACGTTATCCGATTTTCATTTTGGTAAGATGTTTACACGTTGCATGGAGATTGGAGAAACCAGGCTGGTGGCAGAGACTGTTGTAAGAATCCAGGTGAGAGCCCTGGCCGGTTTGGCTCAGCGGTTAGAGCGTCGGCCTGCGGTCCAGAAAGACCCGGGTTCGGTTCCCGCTAAGGGCACGTACCTCAGTTGCAGTTCGTCACCGGACCTGGTTGGGTCGTGTAGGTGGCAACCACTTGATGTGTCCCTTTCACGTTGCTGTTTCTCTCTCTCTCTCTCTCTCTCTCTCTCTCTCCCTCCCTCCCTCCCTCCCTCCCTCCCTCCTACTCTATCTGAACAAAATATGAAAAAATGTCCTTGGGTGAGAATAAAAAAAAAAAAAAGAATTCAGGTGAGAGATGAGGTTGGCTTGAACTTGAGTAGTCACAACAAAGACGAAGGAAGTGAGCAGATCCAAGTTGTACTTAGGAGGAGGAAACCGATGGGCTAATTGGATGAGAGCAGGAGTTCAGGGTGACCCCCATCACTGACTTGGGTAACGATGCCTGTCAGACTAGGAAGAGAAGTGGTCTGGGTGGGGGTGATAAAAAGTTCAGTCTGAAGTTCAAGGGCAGTATTTAGATGGAGGTGGCCAGTGGGATACAGAGGCTTTGAGCTCAGAAGAGAGAATGGGGCCAGCCACAGGGGTCTAGGAGTCATCAGCCTACAGATGTGAACTGAGGCTGTGGGAACAAGAGCATCCACCCAGAGAGTGAGGACACCGAGCGAGAAAAAAGGCAGAGGACAGGATCCTGAGAAACCTTGACCTTTATGGGTCAGCTGGAGCGGGCAAAGGGACGCCTGGAGGGAGGAGGACAGGCAGGCCATTTCAGCCTCGCAATACCTGCACCGCTCACAGGTGAGGAATCCGCAGGCTTTCACGTGTTTCGCTAGAGCACAAGCACAAAGAAACACAGAGCTGAATGTTTTGCTCCATCACATAACCACCCTTCCCCTAGGACATCCAGGGTATCTCTTCCCCAACCCCATCCTCTTGTTTAATGCCTCTGTGTTCTAGGTGTCTGTAATTTTGAAAGTAGAGTGTAAATGAAAAGATTGACTGAATTCAAGAGGTGCTATTTGCACACAGTGAATTGTGCTTTTGTTTTATTTTGAGAGAGAGAGAGAGGGAGGGAGAGAGGGAGAGAGAGAGAGAGAGAGAGATTGGCTGCCCCCCATCACCACATGTGCTCAACTGGGGATTGAACCCACGACCTTCCAGTGCACAGGACAACACTCCAACCAACTGGGCCCCACTGGCCAGGGCCGCACAGTGAGAATGGTGATGCACTGCACTTTGGTCTTTACTCAGGCAACCTACTCTTGAGGACCAGGTGAAGAAAGGCCATCTAATTCTCAGCACTTGTACCCACTCCTTCCTCTTGCACCCAAGGTCGTGTTACTAATTGGTCCTCACCTGGCCTCCTCCTTCAGGAAGCCCGACAGGAACGCAGACTCCATCTCTAGGCTGCCATTGTACTGAGCCAGAGCTGGCAAGCCTTCTGGTACATCGTGGCCATCCTTGGAGAGAGCCACCATCCCACAAACCACCAGAAGGACTCCTGTCTTTATTATGATGAACCTTTTATTATAGAGACAGACTGAATTCTTTTGCATAAAGAATCTCTGGATTGGGTCAGGGAAATCCACCCGATAAAGGTCACCACCCAGCTCTCCCTGCCTCTGCCTCAGCTAAGTCCTTGCTTGCTATGTACATCTCAAGAGGCTGCTGTCCCAGGGCCAGGCTGGTGGGTTGGGCCATGCTGGCCGGAGGGTCAGGGCTCCTGGCTGTCCACCAGGTCAGAGTCTCACCGAATCCCGCCTCAGTCGGTTGTCCAGAACCTGGAGCTGCCGGAGGAAGCCGGAGTTGGGGCAGATATCACGGTGGGCCTGCACCTTTTGGATGGCTTGCACCAGCGTCATGTTCTCGTAGATCATGAGGAAGGCCAGGACCACGGTGGCGGAGCGGCTCACTCCCATGGCGCAGTGCACCAGCACGCGGCCTGCAGGGAGACCCAACCCAGCGTCAACCACCTGCCCTCATACACCCACCCATTCGGGAGTCAGAGATACTTCTAGCCATCCTTCAGCCCACCTATCACAGTATTCTGGAATACTGACACTGTGTTCACTGTCAGCTGGGGCAAATGAAGCCCAGAGAGGGAAAGGAACTGGCTCAAGGTCACACAGCAAGTTTGTGATGGAGCTAAGGTTAGCAGCTGGGATTCCCTTCTCCTGGTTCAAGGTGCTTCCTCTGGCATCCTTTGCAACTCTGGTGAGTTGGTGGGGAGCAGGGGGAGGACAGTGCTCCTGGAGTCCCCTGGGGTTGGGGCAGATTACAAACTACCTGTCTCTCCCCAGTTCTGCCCTCTCCCCTTGTCCCTGCAGCCCTATGCCAAGGCTTCATTTTAGAGGAGCCTGCTCAAGAGCCGTTGCTAGGTTGCTAGGTCTGTACCTTCTGCCCAACACCTGGTCTCCTACTGAGGGATATAGTTATGCTGATGACCACACTGGTTGTTGGTTTCTGGGCGTCTCTGAAGGGGATGCTCACCAAATGGCAGTAGCTACTTGCCCCATGGGGTGAGAGGGTTGTTGGAGAGGTTTGTGGCTTAGGGCACCAGCTATCAGTGCTACTGGAAAATCAAAGAGCCCCGGATCTCACCCCCATCCCTACCTCCACCCCAGTCCCTTCCCCAGGAGCTCACCTTGGGGAACACTGAGGGCAGTCCGGATGTACCGAGCCACAGGCAGAAAGTACACACTCAGGTCAAAGAAGGGGTTGTCATCAGCCTCAATGCCATAGTACTCCACAGGCATTCCGTGATAGAACTTGGCACCTGTGTCCACTTGAAACTTGCCCGCAGCAACGTTCACAACGTGGGTGATGCCCAGCTGGGTGAGTCTGCTCCTGTCCCGGGCTGCATACCTGGAGGGAGGAAGGGTGGGGCGGGGCGGGGCGGGGTGGGGTGGGGTAGGAATTGGGAGGTGGGGGTAGCTCTCCCTGGTCAGTTCTGACTGAGCTGGAACTTGTCCCCTTCCCTCCTCTGCCACCCCCGCCAAGGGTAGAGACTAGAAGTAGTGAACTGGCCCTGGCCGGGGTGAATGGGCTCCTCTAGTTAGAGTTCAAGGCTTCCTTTCCCTCGGGCCAACTTTCTGGAGAGCATTTGGCCCACATGCATCAAAAGCCTGAAAAATGTGCACATACTTTGCCCAGCAAGTTTCCTTCTAGGGACTTAAAGAAAGAATCCAAACTGTGCCCACAGACTTCTGTAAATTGAATTTAATGATATTTAAGATAGTAAAAACTTTGGGGAAAATTACAAATATCCTCTGATAGGAGCCTGAGTATGTACAGGTAAATGAAATACTATGCAAGCACTAAAATATGGTAGATACGGGTAAACAAAGAAAGGTGTTCATGCTGTATTGAGAACATGTGGAAAATGCCAGGTACTAAACAGAACGTTGGTTAAGGTTTTAAGTCTGTAGTATGACTCCATTAAAAAACTTCTATAGCCCTGGCTGGTTTGGCTCAGCGGTTAGAGTGTTGGTCTGCGGTCCGGAGAGACCTGGGTTCGGTTCCCGCTAAGGGCATGTACCTCGGTTGCAGTTTGTCCCCGGCCCTGGTTGGGTCATGCAGGTGGCAGCCACTCGATGTGTCCCTTTCACATTGATGTTTCTCTCTCTCTCTCTCTCCCTCACCCTATCTGAACAAAAAATGGAAAAATGTCCTCAGGTGAGGATAAAAAAAAAAGCTTCTATATAAAGTTGATTACAAAGTTGATTATAAAGTGATACCATTTTTCTAAAAAAAATTAAGAGAGAGAAATGTGAAAAAGTATTTATGTATATATTTGTATATTCATTTTTTTAAAAAATCCTCACCCGAGGATATTCTTCCATTTATTTTCAGACAGAATGGGAGGGAGAGAGAAAGGGAAACATCGATGTGAGAGAGACACATCAATTGGTTGCCTCCTGTATGGCCTGACCCGCAACCCAGGTATGTGCCCTTGACTGGAATCGAACCCGTGACTCTTCGGTCCACAGGCCAATGCTCTAACCGCTGAGCCAAACCAGCGAGGGCTGTGTATGCATTTTTTAAAATGCCAATACGGATTTTATTACTGGTTATCTGTAGGGAGGATAGCATATTATCATATTGTTAACAAGATACTGACCCCCATTCTCTAAATATCTTTTAAAAATTCTGAACTCTACATATATTGGTCCATATGTTCTAAATTTTAAGAACATTTTTAGAGAAAATGACTCAGTTCTACTCTCTCGATACACCCTAAGAATCATGCGTGTGTTGCCAGGGCACAGGTACTAGAATGTTCATAATGGCCAAAAAGTGGAAACGACCGAGGTGTTTGTATATAATAAAAGCGGATAAACTATGAGGTATTCGCATAATCGAGTAGTTACAGCAATAGAAAAATGAATGGCCCTGGCAGCTTGGCTCAGCAGTTACAGCACCGGCCCGTGGACCGGAGAGGCCTGGGTTCAGTTCCTGCTGGGGGCACATACCTTTGTTGCAGTTTGTCCCCAGCCCCGGCTGGAGTTGTGTGGGTAGCAACCACTCGATGTGTCTCATTCACATCGATGTTTCTCTCTCTGTCTTCCTCCCTCTCTCCTTCCTGCTCTATCTGAAAATAAATGCAAAAATGTCCTCGTGTGAAAATTTAAAAAAAAGAAGAAGAAGAATGAACTGCAGCTACACATAATAACATGGGTGAATCTTACAATTTTGAGCAAATTGTGCTGGGCACAAAACACACACAGTATGATTCCATTCATCCAACTTTAACAGACAGACAAAACTAACTATATGGTTAGGTGGGTGAGTGGTAGAGGTATAAGGAAATACTTATTTCAACACTCAGCAGTTATCTGCAGGGAAAGTGTTATAATGAGTAGGGTTCAGAAGGGGTTCCTGAGGCACAAGTAATGTCCTATTTCTTGACCTGGGTGGTGAAACTCTTCATGTAAGCTCTATGCACTTTTCTTATGAGTGTTCTATTTCCTCAATTAAAAGAATAACTTCTGTCAAAGGGAAGAAACATGTGGAATAGATTATGGGAGGCAGAGAGGGTGCCACCTGTGCTGCTGGGCTCTGGGCGAGGCTCCCTTCTGCCCCCGCCAACTCTCCCATGTGAGTCGCACTTACGCATCTCCCAGGAAGAGGTTGGGCCAGACCTCATTGATGTGGCTCAGTGTGGCGGCCCGCCGGACCCACAGCAAGCGCTGCAGTGAGGACAGCGTGGGCGGCTGGTAGGGGGACACCGGGACTGCTCCATGGATCTTGGGCCTCCGGAGATCCTGCTTTTGCAGGGAGTCCATCCTGGAACAGGGTGGACATCGCAGTGGCTAGAGGCAGCTCCCTGAAGCTGAGTACAGCTGACCAGAGGCCCGAGTGGAGGCCCAGGTGGCACTGGGATGATGCGGGAAGGGCCGCAGCTAGTTCATATGAGGTTGTTAACCAGCTCACCTGGGGCTGAGGCCTAGCCCCTTTCCCGAGGAACAAGGGAATCAACCCCTTGTTACCCTCTCTCCTGCCCTTTCCAGAGGCCCCCGAGGTCAGAAACTTTGGCCAAGGGGTCTTTGGAGTTCCGTTGGTGGCGATAAGCCGGCACAGACCCAATCCCTTAAGTCACTGGTCACTTGGGACTTTGTAGGGATGGAGACCTCAGGTGGCTGTGGCTCCTCACAACCTGGGCAGCTCGTCTCAAGGTCCCTCCTCTGCTAGTTCCAGGGCTGGTCCTCAGGCCCCCACACCTTCCCATTTTCAGGTGCTTGGAGAGCAGAGTCCATCTCTGGAGCGAAGGCCCTGGGCTAGGAACGTTTGTTAGCATTTCCATCCTGAATGAGCTAATGCCTCTTAGGCCTGGTGCCTCACTTGTGGTAGGTCCCTATTTTACATGAGAGGAAGCTGAAGCTCAGAGAGGAATTGTTTAAGTGATGCCCAAAACCAAATGGCTGATATGCAGCAAGGCTGTGGTTTCAATGCAGTTCTGTGGTCCTGTAGTTCAGTCCACAAGTCTTCCAGTTAACTATCGTTGGGGACTCGAGAGTGGTCACTAACACATCCAACTCTACAGGGGAGCCTGGTGTTGCTGTCACACATGTGCCTTTGAGTCCTGGGACTTTCTTCCTTACCCCCACGACTCGGGCCAGCGCTGCACGGCAGGCCTCACGCAGTTGGGGTGGGCCGTCTCAGGAGTCAGCTGGTTGAGGGAGTCCGGGACCCTGCTGAGCTGGGATGTCAGTGGCACCAGAACGTGGGCCTGCTGCCGTGCCGGGAAGGGTTGCCTATCTTGGCTAATCGTACCTGGCCCTCTCAGCAAGTAGCTAGGGAAGGTGCAAACTGGAAAAAACATCTTTTCTCTTTGGTAGGCCGTGCCAGGACCAGAAAGAGAAACAGGCACCCAGGAGGCCACTGGCTTGGCCAAGCTCACCCAGCGGGCAGCCGGTGGGCAGGGTGGAAGTGAAGACCCTGCTTTCCCCTTCATCCCCTGACGTAGCCTCCCAGGGCTGGCTGAGTGGCCTGCCACCTACCTAGGGCATGGTCTAGGGTTGAGAGTGGGGGAGTGAGGGCAGGGACAGGACTAAGCACATGAATGGAATGGGGCTGGGCGGGTTCCGCCCAGAACACAAATGCTGTGAAGCGGCTAGAATTCCAGGTCCCCTCTTGGAGCCCATGGGGGTGGGGCCTGAGAGCAGACCTAGGCCCTGATGGAGGGCAGCGCAGGCTTCCGAACCCCAGGCCTTCCTATGCTGGCATCTCTTTGGGGTCAAAGACTCCTGGGCCCGGAACTCCCCACGAGAGGGAGGCTGCTACCTGAAGTGGTGGGAAGAGCACTTCAGAGAGGAAGAGAGCCTGGCCATTATCTGTTCTGTGACCTCAGCAAGTCTTTGCTCCTGTCCTGGCCACATTTCTCTTCTCACGTTAAATATCCGGGTCTTGCTGGACTATGGAGTCTCCAGGGGCCTGGCCCGAGAACGAGAGAGGAGGCTGGGTACACAGTGACTACAGGGTAGAGAGCAGCGTAGTGTGTTAGGACGGGGTGAGCCCCAGGTTCCAGGGTCATCCAAAAGCCACACTGTTCTGGAGCCGCCAGCTGGTGCTTGAGCCCCAGGCAGGGCAAGTGGGGCTTTGGGAAGTCTGGCAGGCCTGGGCTCAGGCCTCTGAGCTTGGTGTGGGGTAAGGCTGCCCCCCAGTGGCCAGTGGGTGCCACACAGCCCGGCTGTGCGTGAAGGTAGCCCGGCTTCAGTTGAGGGAGCTGGACCCTGCTCCTCCTGGAGGCTCCTGGGCAGAGGAGGAGATGGCAGAGGGATCAAGGATTGGAGGCTCCCAAGCCACAGCCCTGACCTTGGCCTCCTAGAGGACCTGGGCTCAGGTCTGGAAAATGGCACCGTCTCGGGCCTTCTTTCTGATGCTCATGGATGTGTCCCCCACCTATCTCCTCCATGCCACTTTTGCCAGCCAAGTCACGCCCAGCCTCTTGCCCACTGACTCATCCTTTAAGCTCCAGGCACACCCAAGGAAGGGGAGTTGGTGGCTGCAGCAGCTTCCCCTGGTTTCTGTCATCCACAGACCTGTACTGTCAAGGACCCTGCCTGATATGTCCTCCCACATCTCGGCCACTTAAGGGTGAAGCAGGGCCCAGTCTCTAGCAGGGACAGGGCTGGCTTGGCTGTTCTTGCCATTCACTCTAGCCCTCATTCGGCCTCCTTCCTGCATCTCCCCCCCGAGCTGAACGGCTGCCTCTGTAGGCAGAGCTTGCCTGCTCTTGTGCGGCCGCTGTCCGCAAGTCCAGGCGCTTGTTTTCTGTTTTTGTATCTCTCTCCTCTCTATGTTGCTCCCCCGGTTGCCACCGTCTCCCACCCTCTCACAGAAGCTCATGCTGCTCCCCAGCCTCCCAGCAACCCTGCATGCTGGTGGCTGCTCTGAGATATCCCCCTGCTCTTCCCTGCTGCTCACTCTCTCTGCCCCTCCCTCCCCCGGCAGACCAGATGGGACTGTGACCACAGGACAGGTGGGGTCGGAGATCTCTGAGGAGTCGGGGGAAGGAAGCCTCAGAGAGGGTGGCAGGCGGGCTGCCAGTGGGTTTGTGCACCTGGTGTGCAGACCTCAGAGGAGGGCAGACCTGGGCAGAGTTGTTAGGTCTGGCGTTTGCACCCACGTGTACCAGTGTCCTCAGTGGGCTGCTGTGAGAATCCCATGAGGTACTAAATGCGAGGCATGTCCCACATCTGCCTCGTGGTAGATGCCCAATAAATGGTGCATCTTACGGTTATTATCACTACTCTTACTACTGTTACCTATTCAAGCCTCAGCCATATCCTGGGTAGAGGGTAACTTTCCCAGGGGGCAGTGGGGCTTGGTCTTTATCTGTGGTTCCTGACGTCTCTTTCTCTGTCTAGAGATGGTTATTAGTATATTCACCACTTGCTAAGGATGTACCATGTACCAGGCAGAGTTTACATTTGTCTGGTACATGGTAAGTGCTAACAATTTCTCACTGAATCCTCACAGTACTCTTATGAAGCAAGTAATATTATTACCCCCATTTCACAGATAAGGAAACTGAGACTCAAGGCGATTAAGCAATACACCCAAGGTCACACAGCCAATAAACATGAGAGCAAGGAGTCAAGCTCAGATCTTTCTGACTCTACTATGCTTTGTCTGTGCCTCTAGCTCTGACTCAGTCTGTCCCTCAATCTAACCCAATCTCCCTGTCCCCCACAATACACACAGGTACAAGTGCCTTGGCCCTCATTACCCAGAAAGCTCTGTGCCCCCCCTGAGATAGGAGCACTCACCCACCTGTGGGGGTATCTGGTCCAGGCTGTGGTCTTCTCTGACAGGCACTTTGTGCTGCTGACTTCTAACCGCTTGTCTCTGCACACTTGATGCTGCTTCTATTTTTGATATGAGTTTAATTATAAAGCATGATGTGCTGCTCTCCTCTCTGGCCATCCCCTGCCACACCCTACTCCCCGCTGGTCCCATGGCATGGTCACCCCCAGCCAGACACCTGGCCCCATTTGAGTAGAGGCATCCGGGCAGGGGCATGCCTGCAGTATGCCTGCATGTACATGTTGACTGTGGGCAGGGAGAAGGAAGATCGAATAAGTCATTTTAAAAGCTCCCTTGGCGCCTGGCCAGTGTGCCTCAGTGGTTGTGTGTCAACCCAGGGACCAAGAGGTTGCCGGTTCAATTCCCGGTCAGGGCACATGCCCAGGTTGTGGGCCAAATCCCCAGTGGGGGGCATGCAGGAGGTGGCCAATCAATGTTCTCTCACCGATGTTTCTATCTCTCTCTCCTTCTCCCTTCCTCTCTCTCTAGGAGCTCCCTTGGCCTTCAAGGGTGGTGTGGAGCACAGGCAGAAAGTTAAAGCGGGAAGGATCTTCTATGGAGGAGGACAGGGAAAAGACCAGCCCAAATCACACACAAACTGGTGGCATTGCCAACCTCAGAACTCAGGTCCAAGGGCCTTCCCTGGGGGCTAAGGATTACAGGGCTGGCCCAGGACAGACCCAGAAGACTCAGGCTGAGGAAGCATGGGAAGACAGACAAACAAAGGTCTAAGGGGGGTTCAGAGCAGGCCTCCAGACCAGCCTGGCCTACAGTCAGAAGCTGTGTCCAGAAGCCACTCTGCCCTTTGCCGAGTTCCTCCTTCCCGCAGAAGGCATTCCTGGCCCAGGGCCCGCTGTCCCTTGAGGCCAGCGAGATGGTCTTTAAGGTCCCTCTAAAGGGTAACTGTGATCCATTTGAGAGCTTGCATTTGGGTCTATCAAGAACCCCCTGCTCTCCAGAGACCCTCCTCATACACCCAAACTTCAGTACTCGTTCCCGCTCGCACTCCCGGGGAACATGTGCACAGAGACGTGTGCATGCCCACAGCCACACCTACAAGGGTCTCTGAAGTCTGAGCTCCAGGGAGTAAGGCTCAGCCCCTGCTGGGGCTCCCTGAGCCCTAGGGAGAGCTGATGGATGCAGCCGTGGACAAGGGCTATCGTGAACAATCACAGTCCCCTCCGGCTGAGCCCTAGGGAGAGCTGATGGATGCAGCCGTGGACAAGGGCTATCATGAACAATCACAGTCCCCTCCGGCTGAGCCCTAGGGAGAGCTGATGGATGCAGCCGTGGACAAGGGCTATCATGAACAATCACAGTCCCCTCCGGCTGAGCCCTAGGGAGAGCTGATGGATGCAGCCGTGGACAAGGGCTATCATGAACAATCACAGTCCCCTCCGGCTCTCCTCTCATGCTCCACCCCCCACAAGGGACCTTGGGGTCCCTGGCCGAGGAGCCTCAGGGCTTGGCTGAGAGGGTGGCCCATTCCTACCTGTGGGGACTGAAGACAGCGGCTGATAGGGAGTGCTGACGGCCAGAGGAAGTGCACGGAGTAGCAGGCTGTAGGGCGGACCCCACACTGGGCTTTCACCATCTTCCAGGTGTCCACCTGGGCCGGAGCCCCCAGCAGCACCAACAGGGCCAGTACCGCGGTGGCAAAATGGCAGAGCCCTGTGGCAGGGAGTAAGGAGCAGCCCTGGGGGAGAGAGGAGGTCCATGTTACAGGCAGTAAACCAGGGCCGAGATTGCCTGGGGCCACATCATTGGGTCAGGGTGAGAGCTGCCACCTAAGCCTGCTTCTGCTTTGAGCCCTCTGGATAAGGTCGGGAGGGTACGGGTGCTGGGAGAGGTAAGGAGGCAGTTATGGGCCCAGCACTCCTAGCCCCTCATCTTCCAGAGTCCTCTGCCCCCGCTGCTGTGGAGGGCTACATGGGCTGTGCACTGCACAACCCTGGGGGCTCTGGCCGCAGACTACCTGGTGGCTAGCACCCCCAGGAACCGTGCAATGCTGTAGCCTAAATGACTCCCCCAAAGCCAGCTGCCTGATGGGAAAGTGCTAAGGTTCAAGGACAGGGTGTTTCAGAGCCTCAGGCCGGGGAAGTGGGGTGTTGGGCATGCTCAGAGGTCTGCTGCTCTGCCAGGTTCCCGAAGCCTGTTCAGAGGAAAGAGTAGGGTGGGAACAGGCATTCCGTTCTCCTCTTGGCTCCCCAAACCACACAGCTCACCACACAGCTTGCCATCCAGCTGAGCCCCAGGCCTAGTCCCAACTCCAGCTACAACCCTAATTTCCTTCCATTACACTCACCCCCAAATTCTAAACCTAGCCCTCCGTCCTGCGCTAATCCCCACCCCCAAGATGCTCATACTCCTAGCAACATGTGCAAAGGGGCCGGTTTGCTAAAGTGCTCCCCTTTGGTCAGGCTGGCTGTGCATTCAGAGACCAAAACAGCTCTTCTGGGTGGGGGTCAGGGAGGATTCAGGCCACGCTCTTGGCAGAAGGAAAAAGCTGTTGCTCTTCCGACTGCCAGGAGAGCCTAGGGCAGTCACCTACCCCCACTGGCAGCCCCTGTGAGCCAGTGGGTGTGAGGCACAGCCAAAGTCAAGGTTGAGGAGAGCTGAGCAAAGGAGCAGTATGGGTAGCAGGAGCTAGAGGTAAGGTCAGGGGAGTGGACAGCTGCCCTGGAGGCCTAACCCCCAAGATGATGGCCCTCAAGGGGGATGTGATATGAGGAAGGTAGGCCAGCCAGGGACAGACTAGCCTGCACGTGGTGGGAGAACAGTGGGCACTCTCAGCTCCCTCACAATCCTGGTGCCACCCCAGGAAGAGACAACCTTGCCTCCTCCCACCTAAGCTAGCAGAAAACAGGGCCGATGCCAAAGGAGTCGAAGCAGCACCCCAGTGGCCATTTGTGGGCTGAGAGCCTGAGCAGCAGTGTGGTTACTAGGGCAGCCCACTCCTTCTACTAGGGGACACTGGGGCCTCCAGCAGGAGGGCAGCAGCTCGAGGACAGGAGGTGCAGGGGTCTGTTCCCCTTGTGCTATTGCTCCAAATGCACTGAACACAGAACAAGAAAGCAGGGTAATTGGAAACAGGAAGGAGACTGAAGACTTCAGTAAGACCTTTATGTCCTAAAGGGGTCCCCAGAACCAGAGAGGGAGGGAGGTTAGGGAGAACCCTTCTGTTGATCTGCGATCAGACTGGGTGGGGGCAGGTAGAGAGTGGGGTGCTGGGCCCAAGGCAGAGAATGGACCGGCGCGACAGCAGAACTTGACATCAGCAGGGCTGCGTGAGGAGATCGTGGCTGGTGCAGGAACACCTGTTCTCCTTCCCCACCTGGGAATGGTGAAGCAGGGCTGACATGAGCATTAGCTAAACTTGGAGCCATAGCTGCAGCCACCTATCCCCCCAGAGCTGAAGGGAAGGTATGCGGAGGGGGGGAAGATTCAGACAGCCCATAGGTTCCAGGACCAGCTGGGCCGCTGCCTTGGTGGGGTTTAGGTGAGCCCCCCACAGGCTTTCGGCCAAGGAGGCGGGGCAGGTCAGCATCAGAATTGGCTAGGCAGGCCTCAGCTCTTCCATTTTTTGCTTTCCACCTCTTTCTTTCCTAGTCTTTCCATCCTCTCTGGGGTCTGAAGAATCTGGGTAGGCTGGGAGAGAGCCCTACTGGAGGCTCATCTTGGCTTGGCCCTGATAAGACCTTTGGTCGGTGAGGGGATCCCAGCAGGTTGGAGAGTGGGCCAGGCCTCCTTTAGCCCTCAGTTCCAGCCAGACAGCCCTAACAACTGACCTCTGAACTGGTCCCATCCCAGGTCCCCTACCAGCCCTCACCTGACCTTTCACTTTCAGTCCCATTTCCCCACCCCATGGTCCCTTCCCAGCTTTCACCTGACCTCTTACTTCCAACTGCCCAGGCCTTGCCCCCTTGTCCCCTCACCCTGCCCAGCTCTCACCTGGCTCCTCAGCTCCGGCCTGCACCCTGCAGCTTCTGGTCCAGCTGGCAGAGCTGGTGGAGGAAGCCTCGGTTGGGGAAGACCCATCGGTGCTGTCTCACAGTGATCACTGCCTGGCGCAGGGACATCTGCTGGCGCAGCATGAGGTAGGCCAAGACCAGTGTGGCGGAGCGGCTCACGCCTACCACACAGTGCACCAGGATCTTGGCTGAGGAAGACATCCTGGTGAAAGGCCCTTTCCCATCAGCAGGCCCACCAGGCGCTGGGGTGGGGGCCCAAGTTCCTTTCCCAGCTCTGCCTTGGGTGTACTCTGTGACAAACCCTAGCCAAATCATTCATCATGTATGGGCCTCATTTTCTTGATCTGTCAAATGCACAGACCAACACCTATTTAGCCTACCTTTGGGATGGGGTCCAAAGTCCTTAGAATGGCTTATAAGAGCCTCCATGAACTGGCCCCTGCTGACCCTACAGCCTTATCTCAGGCTATCCCACCCCAACCTTCAACCTTGCCTGGCCGGTGTGGCTGAACAGGGTAGCTTTCAGTTCCTTGAAGCTGCATAGTCTCTAGCCTCCAGCCTTAGCACATGCTATTCCAACTCCTTCTAAATCATTTCCTCTGCTCTTGGTCTGACTAACAACTCATCTGTCAGGTTTCAGCTTCTTCGCACAGGCTTTCCTGATCACTCATGGTATTGCTCGAATTACAGAGCAGCTCATCCTTTTGCATGTGGCCCAGTGAACACTGATGTAAAGGGAAGTTACCCTGCCTCCCTGATGCTCTGAATTGAGCGCCCCTGCTCTGAGCTACCACAACTCTTCACATTTGCCCACTTGTATGAGTAGCACTCATAATACTTTACATTTTAACTGTCTTTCCACCAAACATAATGACAAGTTCTGTGAGGGCAGGCACCCTGCCTTGTCTAAGTGTGAATTCCCAGCATCTAGCTCAGTGCCTGGCACAGAGAAGATAATAAATAGCTGGTAAGCGAATGGATGAAGAACAAATGAATGTCAAAGTGCTTTGGATATTAAGAAGTGCTGTGAGGCATAGTCTTGTCTCTCCCATTGCACAGATGAGAAACCGAAGTCCAGGGAGTGATACTGGCTTGCCCAGGTTCAATTAGAAAGGGCCACAACTCTCACCCAGGATAAACACAAAATAGGGGCTCAGCTTCCCCCAGGTCCCTTATTGTTTCCTTGGTGTTAGAAGTTTTATTTCCATTCGAAAGTACTTTGGGGCATAAACCAGACATCTAGGTACCAAATGTTAATTTCCAAAGGCTGACTGCTGAAGAGAAAGAACTATTTTGCTGTTTGGGAGGCCTGGCTTCCAGCCCCAGAGTTGCTCCTAATGCGTGGCATGATCTTGTATTTTAGGCCTCAGTTTCCCCATATGTGAAGCTATGCAGTTAGACAAATCACTGGAGCACTGAGCAGAGGATTTTAAAAAACCCGATGGCTTGCCCTGGCTGGTTTGGCTCAGCGGTTAGAGTGTCAGCCTGTGGACCAAGGAGTTGCGGGTTCGATTCCAGTCAAGGGCACATACCTCAGTCCCCAGCCCTGATCGGGGAGGCAGCCAACTGATGTGTCTTTCTCATATTAATGTCTCTCTCTCTCACCGCCCCCCCCCCCAACTCTGTCTGAAGATAAATGGAAAAATATCCTCGGGTGAGGATTTAAAAAATAAAAATAAAAACAAAAAACCTGATGGCTTTTTAAAAACTAGAGATGGTTGGGGTCCTACCCTGAGGCCTCAGGGAGGCTCTCTCCATGGAGCATGCTTCGCCTTTCCCTGCCCACTTCCCCCAGGGGTGTTTTCCTTGCCTCTCTCTTTTTCCTGGGCTCTGGGGGCCCTTCTTTTGCCTCTGTGGTTTGTTTTCTGAGCCCATTTCTTCTACAGCTCACTTCTTCTACCTCTGTGACTTTCTGGATAAACTTTCTCTTACACTTGAAAAAAAATTAAAACAACTAGGGAAGGGAGGACACTGCTGTTTGAAGGGAAACCAGACATCCCCCCATGGCTGAACAGGATGGATATGAGATCAGACCCCAAGTCCTACCCCCGGGTGTGCTGAGGGCATGGTGAATGAAGTCAGCTGCAGAGGAGAAGTAGGTACTGATGTCGAAATCCGGGAGGTCGTGGGCTGGCACCCCCAGATAGCTCACACTGCTGCCATAGAAGTCAGGGCCGCCCTGACAATAGAGGCCCCCATGGGCGGCATTCAGCACGTGGGTGATGCCCAGCTTCCATAGTTCAAAGCGGTTATTTGCTGTGGCCCTGGGGAGGAGAGGAAGAGGGCTGACCATGGGGTCCAGGAAGGAGGCTTTGCCAGGCCCCTTACTTCAGAGGGATGGAGCCATTAGGGTCCGAAGGGAGCTGGAAGGAACCCAGCAAACTAGAGCTAGAATCCACAGCTCACAGCACCACCCTCAGAGCTTTCTGGTGGAAGAGTTGTGGTATAGGAAGTTATCTTTAGCCTCTCTTTGCTTCCTGAGGTCATCTGCCCTTGCCTGGGCTAGGTCCGGAAGGAAAGGATTGCCTCACTCCTGGACCCAGCTGCCTCACCATTCCTTCCTGCCGGGTGCCTTCCCACACACTTTCGGTCTCTCCTGGCCACTACCTCATACCTGCTTCTGCTCTGCAAATGTTTAGAGGTGACAACTTTCCTGATTCACCTTTAGTCAGACTTCCTCGCCCATGGTGTCCACAGAGAGGTTGGGACCCCGAAGGGAAGCTCTCTGTCCAATCCATTTAATACCCCAAATCACCATTCCCCAGGCCTCTGCCCTCCAAACTCCCCAATTTTCCTGGATGTGCCAGTAGACGCCAGGAACTTCTGGGATCTCCCCTCTTTCCTGCAGCCAAAGTCCCCACTCCCTCTGGTGGCCACATGTGGTCACTGCACTGTCCCCAGCACACAGGAGTCCTGGAGAAAGTCCCTGGCATAGAACACTTAGCACTGAACTATTTCTCGGTGATCCCATCCCACCTCTATCTCTGGTAAAGAGCCCAAGAACTGTCTCTCCTTGTTCCCCCTCCCACCCCCTTAGGCCAGCTACCACTCACGCATCTCCTATGTAAAGGTTGGGCCAAACTTCATCCACCCGGTTGCAAGAAGAAATTTTCCCCGCCCTCAGGAGCTCCTCCAGTTCTACAACGCTGGGGCAATGTGTGGCCTCCGAATCTCCGCTCAGTTCTGGGAGCGAGGCCTCAGCCATGGGCCAGCCCACCCACTCCTCTGACTGCAGTCACTCCTCTGTGCCTCTCCAGTGTCATTTCTCCTTCCCGGAGACTGACAGGGACAGGTGGAGCAGAAAGAAGTGACTCAGCAAGTCACAGGGGCCTCCAGAGAGAACAGGACATTTTCTTCCCAAAGTCACCACCCCCCAACCCCAAATTCCGTGACCACATGGAATCAGACATACCTCTGCAAACCACTTTATCCCTTCACTTCAGTTTCTTCATCTGCAGAGTAAGGATAATTACACTTACCTCAAAGAATTGTGAGGATTTAATGAAGCAAAGGATATTCTGTTTCTAACATAGTATATGCTTAAGAAACATTTTTGACCAGGTTTAGAGGCCCGAAAAGGCTATTCTATTCTGAGGACTGAGTTAAAGTAGAGATCCAAGGTGGAGAGGAGGTGGTTGATTTCAAGGATGAATGATAGAAAAAAGCTCTGCACGTTGGCCTGCGGTCCGGAGAGACCCGGGTTCGGTTCCCGCTAGGGGCATGTACCTCGGTTGCAGTTTGTCCCCGGCCCTGGTTGGTCGTGCGGGTGGCAGCCACTCGATGTGTCCCTTTCACATCGATGTTTCTCTCTCTCTCTCTCTCCCTCCTGCTCTATCTGAACAAAGAATGAAAAAGTGTCCTTGGGTGAGGATAAAAAAAACAACAACAACAGAAAAAAGTCTGGGTTGGAACTATATGGCTGTTGGATGAGTCTCTAGATTCTAGGGCTCAGAAGAAATTTCCTGAGTTGTAGAGTCAGAGAACTATGGAGAGAAGGCATGGAGGACCTCATCTAAAGGGTGCCCACAGGGTTCATGGGTAACGGTTTGAGCTGTGATTTTTTTTCTTTTTTTTTTTTTGTACAGACAGAGTGGGAGGGAGAGAGAGGAAGAGAGAGAGGGAAACATCAATGTGAAAGGGACACATCGAGTGGCTGCCACCCGCACGACCAACCAGGGCTGGGGACAAACTGCAACCGAGGTACATGCCCTTAGCAGGAACCGAACCCGGGTCTCTCCGGACCGCAGGTGGACGCTCTAACCGCTGAGCCAAACTGGCCAGCGTGAGCTGTGATATTTTTTAATGAAGATGGCTGAATTCTCAAAGGAGAAGGCTAAAATGGGCCATGTATGTATGTCAAAGGGCGAGAAGGGAGGTAAATGTTGCCCTAGACTTTCTGAAGAGCCTAGGGGCCTTTAGGATGGGAGGTTGATTCCTCTAATTATAAGGCTTTTGTTTTCACAATAGAAACTGAGAAAAGTCTGTATCTGTTCTTCTGCCAGAGTTAGTTATTAGCAAAAGTGGTGAGATGTCTTGCCTGCTCTCAGATGACTTCATGAAGGCCCTGATGGGGCTGGAAGAAATACCAGCTGCAGTAGGAAGCCTCCCTGCTGCCCCTGACCTTGAGTCCAGCTTGAGGGTAAAGTCCACATGTAAGCCTGTTCACCCCAGAACCTGTCCCCATCCCCATCAGAGCCCGTGAAGTCTGTCTTGCACTGTTTGGGGAAGCAAAGCCAAGGAGGGGCTGAAGCCCAGGTCACAGATTGTTTTGGACTCCGTTTATGCCAATGCTAGGCATAGGCTGGGGAGTTCCCACAGGGTGGGGCAGTGTAACACAGTGAGAAGAGCATGGGTTCTAAAGTTAGACAGATTTAAGTAGGAATACTGGCTTTTGCACATATTAACTGCCGTAATTCAGACACGTTTCTTGGCTGTGTAGAGTTGGCACAATGATTAAGTGAGATATTTATATGGCATTTCCCTTAGGGACTATCGGAGAGTAAAGGGTCAATAAATGGTAACAATGCTCATTGTGAGTTGGCTCTTGGAGAGGAGCTGACTCCCTCTTGAGCAGTGTGGGGAACATCTAGCCCACCATATAAGGCCCACTAAATCAATACCAGCTAACATCACATTCACCAAATTAGCCTGACCAAATATAGCAGGCTAATTTTTAAGGCGATAATTTTGTATGGCCTGCAAATGATGTTATAAATATCCAAATGGGCCTTGGCAGGAAAAAGTTTCCCCACCCCTGCAGAGGAATTAGGATAATTTCCCCTTGTCCTCAAACACCATTTACTAATCCCACCGGCCTCCCCACCTTCACTAGCTTCTCTCCTTTGGCCTTATCGGCTGGCCTTGGGCCTGACGCATGCGCTCTTGGGTTTCCTTGCTGTGGTTCTGGCATCTTGAGCCCCGTGTCTCTTCCGGTTTGGGCACCGCCCCCACCCCAGGGCCCCGCCTCCCGTCACAGGGCCCCGCCTCCCCAAGCAGTTCCGGTTTGGATTTCTAGCAGCTGCCTGATCCGAGGAGACCGGACAGGAGCAATGCCTGCGCGCAGTCGCCACCGTCCGCGCCTCCACTCTGGGTCCCCTCCGCGGTCTCCGCCCCCGCCGCTCGTGGCGCTTCACTCCGGCGAGGCTCGGAGGGTCCCGGACTCCGACGGCGGCTCGGATGCCGACTCGGAGGTGGGGCCGGGCAGCCCGACTCCGGCCGCGGAGGTGAGCGGGAGCTGAGGCTGAGGAGAGGGGAGTTTGGAGGGCACCTGCAGCCAAGGGTGCGGGGGGCGGCAGGGGTGCGGCCGGGGGCTGCCGCGGGAGGCGGTTGAAGGAGCCCGGAGAGTCGGCTCTAGAATGGAATCTGAGGGAAATGGAGGTTGTCGAGCCGAGGGCCTGGGGGGGATGACGATGGCCAGAGGCTGAGGGGTACGTAGAGACTCAGGGTTGAGAGGGAGTGGGAGGCTGAGGGAGATGTAGCCTTGAAAAGACACGGGCTTGGAGATGTTCGAAAGCGGGGTAGTGAGAGGAGATCGAAGGGGCCCCGCGGGAATGTGGGACCCGAGGAAGAGATGCTCTGGGATTGGGCAGTGAGGGCGAGGGGGACCTGGGCCGAGGTGACCATGCGGCCAGAGACGGACCCGGGTTGGGACTGATGAGAGACAGCTAACGAAGTGGGGTGGTGGCAATTAGGGGGGGCATGTAGGTTTGACTGGAAGAGGGAGGGGTCTCGGGTGGGAAGTCGTCCAGCTCAAAGGGCCAGAAAAAGAGAAATGGAGTTAAAAGAAAAGAAGCCCTTGGGGATCTAATTTAGGGCTTTGGCATTTTTACAGGTGTCTTTTAAAGCATAAAAGATCACTAGGGTAATATACTTGCATTAGGGGGCTTTCTCGTGTGTGGACTGTGGATCCTTTTAAAATCTGGGGCGGGAGGGGCGGTGTGAAGCACTGATTTGTCCAAAGCACTGGAGGAAATAGTGAAAAAGTGATGTTAGAAGAGACAGTGAAAGGGGTGATTCTGAAAATAAAGATCCATTGGATTTCTTCTAACAGTATTTTTCTTTGTATTTCTTTTTGAAATTTAAGTTTATATTAAATACCAGAGAAGTTTATATCTTAAAAAAGATTTAATACATTACCTTTAAATAAATTAAAAAAAACACTCAAAACAAAAATTTGGATACTCAGGTTTTACAGATACTCAGTATTAACTGGTTCCACTTTGACAGCTTGACTTGACACATGTATTTACCACAAAAATATGGTCAGTGCAGTTGTCTGTGTTAAAGGATACATAAAAAACTATATGTGAAATGACACAGTCCAGGAGCCTACCAGATCTTCCTCTTACCCATAACTCCAGGATTGGAGTTATATCTTGAAAACTGGAGGGGTACTTTTGACAGATTTGCAGGACCAATTTTAATGCAATTTTTCAGATATTGTACGAATAATATTTTTAGCAGAGTGACCTAGAAAAATAAGAATAGAGGGTACTTTTAGTTGGCACTTAACAGAACTGGGATAGGTGGGTACACAGGTGTTTTTTTATTGAAGAAATAGTACCAAAATCATAATTGTGCCAGAAAAATAGTTATCATAATAGTTACACTTAATTGTTAAATTATAACATGGCTTTATGAAATCTTTGACCTTAGCAATATCACATATGTTGTTTTACAACTTCATATCTGATTATAAATTTTGCAAAGTTGGCTATTTCAAAACAAACTTTTCATCAAGTATTTTTATGGGTAACAACTGTTTATTCTTCGTGAGATGATAATTTACTGATTGTAACAAGCTTGTATTTATTTATTCATTTATTATCCTCACCCGAGGAGATTTTTGCATTTATCTTCAGATAGAGCAGGAGGGAAAGAGGGAAGAAGACAGAGAGAGAAACATTGATGTGAGAGACACACATGGAGTGATTGCCACCCACATGCCCCCAACTGGAGCTAGGGACAAACTGCAACCGAGGTACGTGCCCTTAGCGGAAACCGAACCTGGAACTCTGTGGTCCGAGGGTCAGCGCTCTAACCGCTGAGCCAGAACGGCCAGGGCTGTAACAAGCTTAAATTAGTTTATGTATATATGTCATATCTTCAAATGCTCAGTAGACTGGTAATTATTTCCTCATAGGAGAGATGAATTCTTACCTTTGCTTTTAGCTGTTGTCAAAAGATTAACTCCCTTTTCTTTATCTGGCCTATGTAGTTGAAGTAGTTTATGTAGTATTTTTGTTGTTTATGTTTCAGTTTATCCTCACCAGACTGAGATCCCCTGGAGACCTTATCTTTATGCTTTGCTCTGAATAAGTCTTAGCATATAAAAATTTAGGTAACATCTATTAAGTAACATCTTAATGTTACTGCAAAATTAAAGAAAAAAATTGTTGGATGGAGTTGTACAATTAATATATCAGCATGCCTAATAGTTATTTTATTTTTATTTCCCTTTTTTTTTTTTATCCTCACCCGAGGACATTTTTCCATTTTTTGTTCAGATAGAGCGGGAGGGAGAGAGAGGAAGAGAGAGAGAGAGAAACATCGACGTGAAAGGGACACATCGAGTGGCTGCCACCCGCACGACCAACCAGGGCCGGGGACAAACTGCAACCGAAGTACGTGCCCTTAGCGGGAACCGAACCTGGGTCTCTCCGGACCGCAGGCCGACGCTCTAACCGCTGAGCCAAACCGGCAGGGCTTTATTTCCCTTTGATAGTTCTTACAATCACTTAGTTGTAAAGAAAATTATTTTAACAGTAGAGCAGTTTCTCTAAGACAAGCAAATCTATATTACTCCAGAAGAAGCCATCATGACTGTGATGGCAGAATATGCAGACATATTTAGATAAATCAGTTTTGATTGCAGTAGCACTCATTCTATTCTTCAAAGACTCTTATTCATATTGAATAACTACTTGGAAATATTTTTATTTGGTTAATCACTAGAGCCTCAATGCTTTTTTAAAACTTTGCCATAATTTTGCTGATTTTGAGACATTGTCATGGTTGTTCTGAGAATTGAAATTTGAACATTGTTTATGAGAAACTGTTGAATCACAGATGTTGTAATGGATATTATTATTTTGCTTTAAAAGAGTGACCATATTAACAAGCTATTCTTTAAAAATTCCTATTTCCAGGCCTGATATATTTGGTGTTAGTGGTAGGGTGTACCTAGCACAGCCATTAAATTTGTGGATGGAAATCTTCCTGTCTTCATTCTTTATATGGTGGTGTATTGTTAGTGAAGGTTGAATTCATTTTTTTTTTTTTACCCGAGGACATTTTTTCATTTTTTTGTTCAGATAGAGTGGGAGGGAGAGAGAGGAAGAGACAGAGAGAGAGAAACATCGAAGTGAAAGGGACACATCAAGTGGCTGCCTCCCACACGACCCAATCAGGGCCGGGGACAAACTGCAACCGAAGTATGTGCCCTTAGTGGGAACTGAACCCAGGTCTCTGGATTGCAGGCTGAAGCTCTAACTGCTGAGCCAAACTGGCCAGGGCTGGATTCATTTTTTAAATTTAAAGCTTCCATAGCTTTGATTCTTTTTATACATCAAATAGACTTATATAAGATATGAATACAAATCTATTTTCTGCTAAATTACCAATGAAGCTCTTTTTAAAGAGTGTGGTATTCGTGGAAAAATACAATATGAACTAAGTGTAATTCTTTTCATGGATTTAGGTTGGAGGGAGGGACTACACTATTGTGCACAGATTAATTGTTTTAATTTTTATTTTTGCAGAGATTGGGGGAACTTACTTTTCCTCCCCACTTTTCTCTCATGTGCATTTGCTTACAAATAAAATATTCTTATTTAAATAATGCTGTATCTTGGTGGATTTTTGTAAACTTATCTTTATTGTTGAATGTATTACAGGTGTTCCTCATTTTTCCCCCATTGCCCCCCTCCTCCCCACTCTCACCCCCCTCCTGCCTTTCCTCACACTGTTGTCTGTGTCCATTGGTTATACATATATGCATGTAAGTTCTTTGGTTTATTTCTTCCCACCCCCCAACCTCCCTTCCCTTTGAGGTTTGTCAGTCTAGCACCCAATTTGTACTTCTTAATCCCTTCACCTTTTTCACCCATTCCCCCAACCCCCCTCCCATCTGGCAACTAACAAAATGTTTTCTATATCTATGAGAATGTTTCTGTTCTGCTTGTTCATTTTGTTTGTAGATTCAGTTGTCGATAGATATGTATTCATTGCCATTTTGTTTGTTCATATTTTTTATCTTTTTCTTCAAGAAGATCCTTCAACATTTCATATAATAATGGTTTGGTGGTGATGAACCCCTTTAGCTTTTCCTTGTCTGGGAAACTCTTTATATGGCCATTGATTCTAAATGCCAGCTTTGCAGGATAGAGTAATCTTGGTTGTAGGTTCTTGCTTTTCATCACTCTGAATATTTCTTGCCACTCCCTTCTGGCCTGCAAAGTTTCTTTTGAGAAATCAGCTGACAGCCTTATGGGAACTCCCTTGTAGGTAAGTAACTGCTTTTCTCTTGCTGCTTTTAAGATTCTCTCTTTGTCTTGAACCTTTTGCATTTTGATGATGATGTGTCTTGGTGTGGGCCTCTTGGGGTTCATCTTGATTGGGACTCTCTGTGCTTCCTGGACTTGTATGTGTTTCCTTCACCAAGTTAGGGAAGTTTTCTGCCATTATTGTTTCAAATAGGTTTTCGATTTCTTGTTCTTTCTTCTCCTTCTGGCACCCCCAAGATGTGAATGTTGGCACACTTGAAGTCCCAGAGGCTCCTTACAGTATCCTTATTTTTTTTGGATTCTTTTTCTTTTTGCTGTTCTGATTAGGTGTTTTTTGCTTCCTTATATTCCAAATTGATGGTTTGCTTCTTGGCTTTACCAACTCTGCTATTGAATCTGTGTAAATTATTCTTTATTTCAGTTAGTGCCTCCTTCATTTCTGACTGGTCCTTTTTTATGCTCTTGAGGCCCTCACTAAGTTCGCTGAGGTTCTCACTAAGTTCATTGAGCATCCTTAGAAGCAGTGTTTTGAACTCTGCATCAGTTAGGTTGCTTATCTCCATTTCGCTTAGTTCTTTTCCTGGAATCTTGTTCTGTTCTTTCATCTGGGACCTGTTTCTTTGTCTCCTCATTTTGGCTGCCTCCCTGTGTTTGTTTCTATGTATTACTTAATGAGAGGTATGGGGCTAGCTGAGACCAGATGCTGCTCGTTTGAAAGA